ATTCAACTTAAATCCCAAGTATCAAACTCTAAGAATTTAAAAATTCAATTTTTAATTTTACAACTTCATTGTGATGAATTTGCAACTTGTGTTCCAAACTTTAATAGGAAAAATAAATTTGTTTATTTTTCAACCATATTAAAATTTGAAAAAGAAGTTATAAATTCATCACAACAAAGTCGAACTTGATAATTTCTGAGGTTTGACACATGTTACCTAGGTTGAATTAATAATTTATCCTTTTGAGACTTCTCTGTCATTCACCCTTTTCTAAAAGCCTGCATTCACATGGATTTAAACTTGGACTCAAAACCTTGTGATTAAATAATCATAGTCCTTTTTACTTGGACCAACATTTGTTGGTATAATATAGGGCATATTGTAAAAGCATTGCTTGGTCCAAAATTTAGGGAGCATTGGGCTGTTCTTTTACTTTTTTTTTAACTATATCATTGCTTCATTTATTATACTTTGCTTAAAAAAAAGGATAAAGTAAAATTTCAATTATCATTGTGAAAGCATTTATATAAAACATTTAATGATAATATAATTTGAAAGATGAATGGCTTTTCAAAAGATTAAGTTTTCAACTATTTTTTTCTTAGAAATGTAAAATAATTATCAACACTCTACATTAAAATGTATTTAGTTAAAGAATCATAGATATTTGTTGCGCCAAATCAAAAAATTATAACAGCTCCTAAAAAAAAAAAAAAGGCTGAGCATCCAAAGTTACAAATATCCCATTTATCATTAAATCAACAACTATTAATTATAGAGTGAATCATTTCATTGCCGTTCGTTGAAATAATTGCTCTTTTATTAATTTTAAAAAAAAAAGTGTATGTAGATTTAGAAATTTCAGTGCATAAAGAACTTATGAGTAAATTGGACGAGATGATCAAAATAAATAAGAAAGTTGTGAAATCAATAAAAAAAAGATTATAAGACTTGTATTACGAGAGTTAAGTTTATGACATAATAAAAATGAAGTCACACGAATATAAGGATCGAATACCCCCAAAAAAAAATCTTTTTTTTGGACATTGTCTCTCTTTGGTTGTAAAATTCAAAATATTGATTATTTATGATTTGTAGCAAAGAAAATATTGATTTTTTGTGGATGCTGCCACAACTTGTAGCAAAAATAATAGTTAGGAATCTCAGAAACAAAATATAAAAACCGTAAAATTTTAAAGTGGCTAATTAAGGACTACGATTCCTCTACTTATATGAAAAGTAATAATTTCTACGCACCAAAATGCCCCTATTGACTTAAAAGAAAAAAATAGCCACAATTTCCGGTTACAATTTTAAGATTTTCCAGCTGAGATTTTGAAAGTAATGAATTGACATGATAAAATGCTTTTGTTTTAACCTCTTATCCAACTAAATTTCTTCAATTTCCAACTATGATATGATGGTGTATTTGGACTTGTAGAGATTTGAATTTGAATCAAATTTTTTATTTAGATACACGAAAAATGGGTAAAGGTGTAGATCATTTATTTTTGAACTTTTTTTTCAGGGACGTCTTGTATTCTGAATTTTTTTTAAAGCAATGTTGTCTCGAAACTCTTCAAAATGTTGCAATGTGGACTTGCCATTAGAGTTGACCCTTTTTGTCTAACCAAACTTGCCACGTGATATTGTTAAAAATTAAAAAGTGATAAAGGTTTTTACTCTCAAACTTTTTCTTAGGAACACATGGTATTTTTAACTTTTTTTTAAGAGCAATGTTGTCTTGCTATCAAAGTTGACCATTTTATTGACTTTACTTATCACATAGTATTTTTTAAAAGAGAAAATTAATCTTTTAGTCCTCCAACTAAAAAGTCACTTGTAACTCAGTCCCTCAACTATGACTCGCTGTGACTCAATCCTTCAACTATAACTCGCCTATGACTCAGTCCCTCAACTTTTGAATCACTTACAAATTAGTCCCTTAATCTTTGTTAATTTTTTTTCATGTTAGCTTATATCTCACATTAATGAATAAGAAGAGAGTATTTTAAAATAATATATGAGCATTTTTTTATTCCTTTTATAAAAAAATTTTAAAAAAATTAAAAAATAAGGACCGAGTTATAGGTAAATCAAAAGTTGAGGGACTGAGTTGTAGCGAGTTATAGTTGAAAGACTGAGTTGCAGCGAGTTATAGTTGAGGGACTGAGTCGCAGCGAATCATAGTTGAGGAACTGAGTTACAAGTGAATTAAAAATTGAAGGACTAAAAGATTAATTTTTTCTTTTTTAAAAAAATAAAAAAATTAAAAGACTTATGCTTCATCTTCATTAGCTTCTTCTTCATCATCTACAATATTAAAAATGCAAAATAACTCATAATACTAAGATGAAAAATTAAACTCAAATTTTCAGCATCAAAATACAATCAAGAAAAACAATCAAATCGAAATTTTCAACATCAAAAAATAATCAAAGACAAGGGACAGAGAGGAGGAAAATAAAGAACACAACTCAAGAATGCAACAATTCAAGAACAACACAAAATATTCAAAAAACAAGAACAAAAAATTAACAACTCAAATTGACCAACGCCAAGTAGGGAGAAGTAATGACTCAGTGGATGATGGCTATGGGAATTCTCTTTTAACTCTTGTCTTGCAAATGCCAAGGTGGAGGAGGGAGTAATGAAAGACGAGAAGAATGGCCAAATGTGAATGAGAAAGAGCGATGTGCAACTGAGACACAAGGAGGGAGGGAATGGCATTTTTTAATTTTTTTTAAAATGCTATGTGGCAAGTGAAATCAAACAAAATAATCAACTCTGATAGCAAGGCAACATTGCACCATTTTATAGAGCTTCGGGGAAACATTGCTCCCAAAAAAAAATTAAGGATACCAAGCACTTCTTGAAAAAAAGTTTCGGGATAAAGGTGATTATTATTTTTTAATTTTTAAAAAATGTCACATAGCAAGTCCAGTCAAACAAAAACAGTCAACTCTAATGAAAGGGCAACATGCACCATTTTGGAGAGTTTTAGGGCAATAATGCTTCCAAAAAAAAGTTCATAATACCAAATGGCCCTAAAAAAAAAAGTTTCAAGATAAATCTACACCTTTACCCCACAAAGAATTTTCAATTTGAATTTGATTTAAATCCAAATTGAATTTCTATTATAATTCATTTGTAATTTTAAATTCACTCTACACGTTGGTCATTTGAAATTTTAGTCAACCCAAAGCCTCTTGTTCCTTTTTACATTTTTATTATTAATGCCTCTATAATTCTCATAGCTTTTTCCATCTCTTATTTTTGTTTATAGTCAATTGAAAAATAACGATAAACTCATCACTCTCATCTTTTTCATTTTCGTTTCCAATTTCAAATCATCTCTTTTCTTTATTTAATTTTAAAATTATCCAAGCAAAGAATTTTATATATGAGATTTGAAATATGAAATTTTAATCAAAAATATAAACCCACCAATCCAAACGCTACAAGAAGTTTTCATCCTATTAGTTTGAAAGTTTTGAATCACCTTAAGATGATGGTTGGAACATGTAGAAGCTTAATTGAAAAGCACTGACATTGTAGCCGCAAAATTTGGCTTTTCTTAAGTAGGAGCATTTTTAATACGTAAAAATCCTTATATTAATTAACAAATACAAATTTTGGATTCTTAGTCATTCTTATCTTGCTTCAAAGGCTCTTAATTGACATTTCCCCTACCTTCGATATTTGAGTTATTTTAAATATATCATCTCATTCTTTTCTTTTGGCCAACGATATATCATCTCATTAACTTAGACTTGATCGTGACAATTTGACATTCACATAATATTTTTTTTTTAATAACAAGACCAATATTCATTACAAAATATAAAATTTATGACTACTCACGCAGCTTTTTTAGTTACGAGTATCACATACAGGTCCCAAATGAAAAAAATTAAGAAAAAATTAAGCAAAAACATAATTTTACATCTTTGCACTTTACTCGAATTTTAAGTCCCTACTTTTTTTATATTTTAAATCCCTATACTTTTTTTTTGGTATTTTAAATCCCTCTATGAGCGTGTTATAGGGACCTACAGTAAAACTTGAGCAAAGTCTAAGAATCAAAATTATATTTTTTTCAAAAATTAATTATTTAATTATTATAATTTTGGCTCAGTTATAACTTAATCCATAAATTTTAACTCATTCTTTATAATTTTAACTCAATTGTAACTCAATCCCTAATCATTAACTCTTGTAATTTAGTTCCTGTAGTTTTAAACTATTTAAAATATCAGTACCTATATTTTAAAAATTAAAATTATAAAGATTAAAATTATTTTAAAATTTTAATCTGTATAAAGATAAAGAGTTTAAATTTTAACCTAATTTAGTCTTTATAATTTTATTTTTTACAACAAATATATCAATATTTAAGCAATTGAAACTATAAGGATTGGGGTGTAAAAGTTAAAATTCAAGTATTAAATTATAATTAATTCAAAATTATAATAATCAAGTTATAATAAGTCAAAGTTTAAAGACTGGTTTATAGATAAATCAAAAGTCAAAATTACAAAAGCCAAATAATTAATTTTTTCCAAAAAAATTATCTTTAATTACCCACAAGTTCAAACCACTCATAATTACTGAAATTTAATGTGTAAATATGAAAATTTGACTTGTAAAAGAGACTGAAAAAATCATTTTTTTTATTTGAAAACTGATTATAATTCCCCCTAAACAGTATGCCTTTGACAAACTAGAATCAGAGCCACTTTGTTTATTCAAAAACCAAAAAAAAAAAACAAAACAAAACAAAATCCAAATCACAAATGGCACAAGAAAATTTAAGTTGGGAAACAAGATTCACAGCACACCAGTAAACGAACAGGCGGCTCAAGGCTATACTTCCACACCAATTCATTTTCATAGCTCTTTTTTCCCATTCTCACTTTTATTTTGCTCCATTCCAATCCAAACCAAGGCTTGTAAAAATAAAAAGTGATCAGCAACAAACAAACACACACAACACGCAGTAAATTAAACGGGCTTTCATTCAACTTGAGTGTTTGCAACACAACGTTGCTAGTGGCAAGTGAAAAATGAAATATACATAATAATGATGATGGCTGTCTGTACGGCATCTCCCTAAGCTTGTCGCTCATCAGGCAATATGGTACTGTTAGTCAAAAGGCAAGAGAAACAAATTCAAAGGGACTTTGGAACTGAGAATTTACAAATTTGACCCCAAAAAATGGTCCCTTAACTAATATACAAAGAGGGATGGAAACTCCGGCTGTGTTAGGAGCAACTGAATAGAGTCATGATCAAGAATCTTATTTCAAGCCATATGCATTGCTGCACTTCCACTTCTTTGCTGATCAGAAGCTAATTGATCGCTACTGATAAATACTTCTACATCAGAACTCTGAGGGCAGTTACTCCCCCCCTTCCCCAAAAAGAACTGTCATTTTTATTATCACACGCCCAAGATGTGACCCCTCAGAACGTGGATTCTCTCATAGTTTACACCTGACCCGATTCCTCGATTCTCCCCGGACCACATGCTCAATGGCAGCATAAGGGAGAACCAACAGGTTTCCATACCACAACCACCAATTCAAACTCAATTTCAAGCAATCAAACTTTGGCTCCTATGTACACTCCCTGCCATGAAGAAAAAGCAAACTTAAACCATGAATCTCCATGCATATCCAAAAGACTATGGAACAGATGATAAAAAAGCAGGATTGTCCATTCTGCGGTCCAAGATTGTCACCCTTTTGACTCCCACACAATAAATTTCTTCACCTTCTGTCTGTTAGTTTACTTTCTTCAGTCTCTTGTGGAAGAAAACCATCAAACTTTCAGAGCAGAGAACTATAGTTTTCATTGGTCATCATTGGGTAAATGGAGAACTTACTGTGAGGAGACCTGTGAACCTATTTACAGGCTTGTGAGTGTCCTGGAGAACAGAAAGCAATGCCTCCCCTGTGGATCCTCTGATAAAGATCTGAACTGCATACTCTCATGAAGTTGATTGGAAAAACCGTGAAACTTCCCGATAAAGCTGTTCAGCTTCAAATGGTTTCGAAACATATCCATCCATTTCACACCTTAGGCATTCCTCATGCGTTGCCTGAATCACGTCAGCAGTCATAGCCAAAATGGGTATATGCCAGTTTGAAGTATTATCCATGGTTTCTTGTTCCACCTCCCGAATCCTCTTGGTAGCTTCAAACCTGTTGAAACAAGGTTTTATACCAGCAACTAATGTACAAGCTAGTAACAATTTTATTATTATTCATTGTAAAAGTAATATAAATTAAAGGATAAAAATATCAATACTTTTAATTTAATTCCAAAGTCACATTTATTAAGAAAAAAGTTTTGCTGTTCCATACCCATCCATTTCTGGCATTTGAATATCCATAAAACAGGCATCAAATTGATGGGGTGGCTTCAGCATAGAGATGGCTTCTTTTCCACTGTTAACACAGACCACATCAGCTCCATACCTCTTTAAAGCTCCAGCTGCTACTGTTCGGTTCACACTATTGTCATCTACAATAAGGATTTTTCTCCCACGCAAAAGATGGCGGAGAGACAAACTTGGAAGCTCCCCATTTCGAGGATTCCCCTTGTTTCCAACACCCATGGCTCGCTGTAGCATAGCAGCAAGCATGCTTGCTCTCAGAGGTTTTACAATGACAGTTGGATTATGAACACCTAATGTTATGGAACTTGTTTTGGAAAAGCTACTAGAATTAACAAGAACAAACAGCTTTGGAGGCACCCCACAATCATTTTTCTTCATGTTATTCATAAACTGAGATGAGATACCAGAATCTCTATCCCAGACTTCGTGTTCAACAAGGATCATATTGATAACTATATCCCCATTGCTTATGACAGACAAACCTTGATTTAAATCTGGAGCTATTTCAACACGAATGCCAAGCCGTTTAATGTGATATCTCAACACATTAGCTCTAACAGGTCTAGGGTCTATAACAAGAGCAGTCATGCCCTGAAATTCTGAGGATGCAAGGTTAGGTTGGTTGTTAATTTGCTGAGGTTTACCCTCAGTTGAACTAGGGGATTCATTGGTGAAGACAGCTGTAAATGTGAAGGTAGATCCGATCTTTGGCATGCTCACAAATCCAATTTCCCCGTGCATGAGGCCAACCAAGCACTGGCTAATGCTTAGCCCAATACCTGTTCCTCCATATTTCCTGGAGACAGATGGACCAACCTGCATGAATGGAGTGAAGATGCGAGATTGGGCTTCTAGAGGAATTCCTTCACCCGTATCTTCAACGGAAACAATAAGAGTAATGCGATCAGAGGAGGAGGATAAGAAAGAATCCTGATGTCCCTCTTGACTGACGGAACTGAATCCTTTCCAACTTTGACATCTATCAGCAACAGGAAATCCGCTCAAGGTATTCTCTGATGTTGCAACTTCAATTGAATTGACAACTTCCTCAATAAGATGGACAGTGACAAATATGTGCCCTTTGTCTGTGAACTGCCAAAGAACTACAAAATCAGATTCCGTGATGCTTATAGAAAAACACTTCTTACTTTAGCATTTTCTATGACTACAATAATAAGTTCATTGTTGAAAATGTTTATGAAACTATATTAACTGATTAGGACACTAACAATACAAATGACTAGGGTAGCTCTCCAAATAAATTTGATTCAACCCATTTTTCCCAGGAGGAATAGAACACACTTTTTAAACAAAAAATGCAAAATCAGGGTACCAGAATAATTTTACATCACAAAGTAATTTTCTGCAAAAATAAAAAAATAGGACGAAGTTTGATAAAATCTGATTACGCATATTTTCCTCTCTATGACTTTCGGTTGGTACAGCACAGACTAACCTTAATTGAGTTGCCCATAAGATTTGTAATTATTTGCCGAAACCTTCCTGGATCACCAACTAGCTGTTCAGGAACCTTATCTGAGATATACACTGCCAACTGTACCCCCCAATAAATAAATCAGCAAGAACCAATTATAATTATATAGTGTGCACATTTTATAATTATCAACATGAAGAAAGTTCAACCAGAGAAAGCATGAAAAATTACCTCTACTCCTTTTTCTTGAGATTTCTCAGAGAATAGTGACAACACATCATCCAAGACTGCTCGTATGTCAAATAGCACTGCCTCAAGCTCAAGCTTACCAGATTCAATCTTTGCCTGGTCCAAAACCTCATTTATAAGTGACACTAGAGCTTTCCCACTACCCTGTGCTATTCTGACATATTCTTTCTGTGTTACATCTAGATCTGTGTCCATAAGCATATGCAACATTCCTGAAAGTTCAATTTTAGGGTGAGGCCAGTATTCTGAGCAGAAGCTTTCAATTGTGTGGTGTTGTGTGTGTGAGAGCACGCACGTGTGAGAGAGAGAGAGAGAGAGAGACCTTGGCAATTTAAGACAAGTCTAAGAAAGAGTTTTCAGCTACTTACCAAGAACACCATTCATTGGTGTCCTGATCTCATGAGAAACAGTGGCCAGAAACTGCAGTATTAATATTTGGTTAGCCCTGCTTGAACAATACAAACATGAAGCCTTGAGTTGTCAGAAAGAAAATGGAAAGATCACATACCTGTGATTTTGCAACATCAGCTGCCTCAGCTCGTTTTTTAAGTTCCATCATCTCATGGTAATCGTCCTCCACTTTAGCAATTCGATTCACAGTAGCGTGAAAAATATGCCCTACAAGGAGTGCAATAACAAGGATGCCAATTGATGTAGCAATTGCCAACCATGGCCATGGAGGTTTCTGTTTGAACCTGTGCCAGCATCAAACTCGAATTTTATCCATAGTTCATATATTTAGATGACTTCCACATTTCAATTATTGCAATAAATACGGATTAACCTCATGAAAGCGGATATATTCCATTTTTATTCTAAGGAAGCAACACCATGGTAAGAACTATGCCTGAGAAAAAGGAAGAATAGAGACATCAAACTCTTTATGCATCATTTCTGTTACCTGCAGTGCATCTCATGCTTCCGGAAAGGATCTCCAAAGTTCAAGGAGCTGACATGATAGAATCCATCATCTGACACATTTGAACCATACATGGAAATAGGGTGGGTATGATTAGTAGTATCATACACATTAACAATCACAGTTTGCTTGCTAGCAAGTTGCTGAAGTAACTTTTCAACCAATGACTCAATATCAAAGACGCCACCAAGATACCTGCAAAATAGAACTGAAACATTAAGTTATCTCTATCAATAACAACACGCATGAATTGTCTTTCTAGAATTTTTGAGCCAGAGATAAGTCAACCAGTAGAGCATATTAGTTACTTCAGCACTATAACTACCACAGGAAATAAGCTAAATTATGTGAATGTTCAAAACTTTTAACAATGTCTGATCCCAATGAGTTCCAAAATTCACGCATACCCATTTGTTGCTTGAATCCTTTCATTTGGGGTTGCATTTGATGGAAGATCTGTGTTGTATACAGCGAATGTCAGGATAACTCCTAGATGATTTGTTTTGAGCAGCCTAAAAGGAGCAGTTAAAACCCCCTTCCCTAATGCTCTAGCACGCAAAACATTTTCACGATCTTCCTGTTCATGAACAAGACATCAAGAGTCATAATTCAAACTGCAGTTGACAGATATGTAATTGAACAAAGGAGTAACCTAAGTGAAATTCATGAACACAGATTATTCGCGCATATTATTATTATTATTATCATTACTTTCAAAAAGTAAGCCCAAGGAAATATAAGCAAATATAGAAAGAAAATGTTGTGTCCCAACAAATTAGGAAAGAGCATTACACTTAAATGGTTGAAATGTATTAGTGATAACGTAAAAACACAAATTCCACCAACGCTCCAGAGACATTATTACAGAAGATGCAAAAGAAATTCACCTTTCCAGAAAGCACATCGACAGAAATGACATGGGAAATTGTTTCCTGTGCAAAAATGACAGGAGCGTATTCTTCTCGAACAGGGGAAGGTTCCAATGCCTCAGGGGCATAGTCATCCTCATGAATGGGGTTCTGCTCAAGGGTATCCATCCTCTTAATGGTCCAACCTTGTTGCTTCTCGAAATGTTCCCTTTCAGAATGAAGCACTCTCACAGCATAAGCAACACCACTAGTAAGGGGCCTCTCAAAAGCAGTTCGTTCTGTGTACCTAGCAAATGTTCTCTGTGGGTTTTACAAAGTTAGAATTGAGAATGATTTCCTCATAAAGACAAAGAAAAACACCAGATCTTATTCCAGCTGATGCTCAATTAACCATGTTAATCACCGGTAATGAACAGGGAGATAGTGAATTGAGATCTAGTTACCTGATCGATGGCAGAAGGGGACTTGGCATGGTGAAAGGTTGAGATGAGAATTGACATGGCTTGGATATGGTTCATACTAACATTAAACTGATCCTGAAGCATCCTAGCCCTCTCATCACACATACTCGCCAGAGTCTCTTTCCTCTTCTCAGTAGCTTGAAAGGTCATGAAGCAAAAGATCCACAAGGATACCATGGTCCAGCCCAGTACCCATGTCAGCAAAAGCTTTCTCCACAGAGTTCTCCGAACTTTCTTGGACCCAATACACTGGTAGTAGTGTTGATGAATTTTACAACTATCGCCTGAGATCTTTTCCCACCACTTGAGCCACATCTTGCCGCCACCGCCGAGAAAACCAACCTTGGTTTCCATAATTCCTCCGTTGTTGAACCAGTTCATGTATATGACTGATACAATCCAGCAACACAACGCCAAAAGAAGATGCCCCAACTTTAGGCCAAATCCAACTACATAGAGCAAACTCATCCACAACAGTAACCAACACAAGTTAACTAGAAACAGTTCCAGGAGGTACTGGATACGGCTTCGAGCCAATTCCAGTTGATCTAGCGGGAGAACCAGTGTCAAATCCAGAGAATCTCCCCCGTTTAAAGCTAGCAAACAGAATTCTCGACCAGTGACTGTGAGAGGTGGATATCGAAACAGGAAAATGGGAAGAACAACGCTAAGCACCTCACAATACCAGAAAGCAAGTGGGTTTCAGGGGAACAAATATGTGCTTTAAAAAGATGCTGTCTTATCCACCGGAATAGACTCAAATTGAGAATGCAAAGGGAATACAGAAAATTGAGGCAGACAAGAAACTCAAATTACCACCTTAAAGAATCAAAGAATCGCCCAGATTCTGAGTTTCTAATTCTAAACAGAAATTGATGTTATCCTGTCAGCTACCAACCAAGAGGCAGAACACCAAAAGAGGCCAGAGACTAACCCATAAAGAATCTACTGTAGTTATCAAATCTGAAATTTATCATCACAAAACAAGAGAAATCTAGCTCCCTTCAACTCCTAAAACCACCAGAAGCTCGTGATTGCCGGAGCTTTGACTGAACCCCCGACAAGCAGCAGGCAAGTAAGGATTATAGCGAAGTAACACTAGAAGGATCAAAGAACACCTTATGATAGATGTGAGTGAAGAAGAAAACGAGGCTAAAAAGAACCAATTAACGGACATTGAAAGAAGAAGAGAGTCTACGGAAGAAATTTGGGTAGATGTAGAACTGGAAGAACATGGTGGTAAAATTGTTTTGCTGCACTGGCCATTATCTATATTCAAACTATCCACTAAAAAAATAAATAAATAAATAACAATAAGAAATGATAGAGTCATAAGTAATATTTTAACAAATCGATGATTGATAATATATAAATAAAATAAAATAAAATAAAATAAAAATAAAACTAGAGGGGCAGAAAAGGCATAGTGCCACTCACCAGAAATCACTGCTTTTTCTCAACTTTCCTTTGTGTTCACATCCCTATCCATCCATTGGCAGAAGACAAGTCCCACACGCTAAGTCGTTAACCCGATGCGTTCGTGTTATGGGCTGTACTTTTGTTGGACAAAAGTGCCCTTGCATGAATCCGAAATTACGGGAATAACCACCCACTTCCGGGTGGAATGGCATCAGATACCCGGTACTTTTCTAGTATTGCCATTAGAGGACCAAGAGTCAAAAGAGTAGGTAAAGAAGCTCCAGCACGTATGATTGTAACCTCTCAAGGTGTTATTTATCTTTTCCTTTTTTTTTTTCTTTTTTCAATTTTTGTTTTTTTCCTTTTTCCCTTGGAATCTTACCACTGTTCAACCGCCTTACAGCTGGCTGGCCTCGTCAATCCACCGGACATGCTTAACGCTTCTTAATCAGTGATTAACAAATTAATTAACAATTGCTTAAGGTAATATATATAATAAGCTGATGCAAACATCAGATTCAACCTGGCTTGAGTGCATGAATTTAAGTCTTCTTGTCAATCTAACATATTATTTCTAAATAATAACTTTGAGTTCATCTTATATCTAAGCTGCCTTCTAAAACTATTTTGTAGTCTTAAATACAAATTATTTTGCAAAAAATTGTGAAGCATTAATTATATTGTTTTATAAGGAAAACTGGGGGGAAAGCTCAAAATTGCAAATAAGAAAAAAAAATGCGCAAAATAATTGCAAATAAACTGTGGATTGTGGAAGAAAAATTGCAGATTATGAATCTGGTCCGTTTCCCCACGTAATTTTATGATAGGGTCTTTCACACAATTTTCCCTTAAATATATTATGCTTCTTGATTTCCAATAAAGGAATAAAAAGTAGATATTTATTTATTCTTCAGACAATTTTAATGATGTGATTGTCTTTTCTTGTATACTGATGAAATAGTTAAAAGTGAGTAATTTATATTAAATATAAAAAAAGTACTAAATTTTAATTAATTTAGGTCGAGATGGTTAAAATTATAAATATGTAAAAACTAATTCAATAAACATATAACCAATTAGTATTACATGCCAAAAATGCAAAAACTCAAACCCAAAATTACCATTGAAGTTTGAACAAGTTCTACCAATCAAGCTTTGGTTATCAATTTGATTACTTCATTGATAATTAATTTGTCTTGCTTTTAGTTAGCTTTGATTAATTTCGGCTAAATTTATATTTTTTTTATACCCAGAAAAAAAATAAATGTTTGCCAAGAAGGAGGCAGGAAGAAACAGGCGTTGGACAAGGAATTTGGGCCGTTGGGGTTGTGGGCGTAAATTGAATGTAGGGGGAGGGGTAAGAATGTAATTGCGCAATGGAGTTAAGGGAAAGTAGTTGGGCAGCATCTAGTTCCAAAACGGTAATTTTGCAAAAAAGGAGGGGCAAAGAGGGAAGATGGCACTTTAATCAAGGGAGGGCTGTCATGAGGAAGGAAGTGATTAGGCCATCACTACCCACTTCTTTTTGGTGTGCTGCTGTGTGGGGAAGCTCTTGGTGAAAACGACGTCCCACGTCAGCTCACCGGTTCTGCACGCCAGCCAATCAGATTGTACAACGTGTAATGCGCATAGTGGCTTGGGGTGATGTTTGGGGACGTATTTTGGGATGCTACAAGTAAAGCTGATAAATTAGGCAAGCCAAATTTATTTAGATAGGACTTAATTTGAGTAAAATTTATTTAAATTGAGCTTAAAATAGTTTATCTTTTTAAAAAATTTATATAATCAAGTTTGATCCTAATTTTTTTTCTAAATTCGTGATAATCAGTCGGGTTTGGCTAAAATTATCAACTCTATATACATATAGAACTGAAATTTTTAGCAATTGAGCTTTTTTGGATTGAGTTTATTTAGATCAAATTTAAAATATCATATTATTTTAAAATAGCTTATATAATCAAGCTCAATCTTAATTTTTTTGAATAAATTTGAATTAGCCTGTTAAGCTTGACCTGAATTATCAATTCTATCTTTAGTGAAGGGATAAGCAAAAACCTATGACTACCTCTTTCCTACGTGTACAAGAAAGAAGAGAAAGAAAGTTAAAAAGAAAAAAAAGAGCCTCATATAAGTGAGGTTGATGCTGGTGACTATGGTCAACTAGTCTAATTAAATTGATAAGTTAGTATTTTAATCAGTTTAATAAATTTTATTTATTATAAATTTAATTACAATTCGATTATAACTTTGACCATTAATTGAGTTAATATTTTGATAAAAATATGACTATAAACCTTGAACTAGTATTTTGTTAAGCAAAAACTTATAACTATCTTGATCAATTTAATGGTTAATTTGTTTTTTAGTATTTTGATAAAAATGATCTCACAAAGAAGGCTTCTAAATTACTTTGGACAAGTGGTGGTAATTTTTTAAGATTTCTCAACAAAATATTGGGCAATGAATCTAAAGAAGAATAAGAAAGGGAGTGGCTTTATGCCTTTTTTTTTTTTCCATACAACAATCTTATGGGATTATACTTTCTCCGTCCTAATTTATAAAGCATTTTTAGACAACATCACACATACTAATATATCTTATTAAATATACTTTAATGCCTAATTTTTTTCAAAATAAAAATATAAATTTTAAAAAATGTCATTCTTATAATACCCTCATTAAAGAAAGAATATTAAAGAAAGAAAGAAAAAGAATATAATAAAAAAAGTAATATTAAAAAATATCATTAATAAAGCTTTATTTTTATTAAAATATTTTAAATTTTGAAACGTTAAATCTCTTTCAAAAATATTTTATAATTTTAAACAGAAATAATATTTAACTAATGTTAGGCCAATTGATAATAATTTTTTAAAAATATTTTTGATATTTATATAAATTCAAACTCAATGTCTCATATTCATGCAATTATAGTCACTTTCACTTGGACCAATCACCATGAGTAAGGTGCCTCTGTGTCTTTTACTAGTGCGTTGGGTGGATATGGTTTCATAATAATGCTACTATACTAAACATGAAGTGCTGCTGCTTTTGCCATGCCTCACTGAAACTGCCAAACTTTTGGGATTATCTTCGTCATTGTCCCCATCCCAAGTACCCACTTCACGCCCATCCAAGTGTCTCACATAGCTCTACAAAAATTAATAATTATTACTCAATACATTCACATTTCAATCGTATTAAAAAATAATGGACTAAGATTCAAATGACACTGAAAAAAAAAATAGTAGAGGAGCACCTAGTGAACTGAACATCATAATTCGCATTCGATGTTGATCCTAATGGTAAGATGAGATATTGACTAATTTAAATTTACAATTTAATTTTTTTAATTTCTTAAATTATCAATTCAGTATAGAGAAGTGAGTGAAATCGATCCATTTGATTCATTCAAAAAAAATTCCATTTGAGGGGACCCTAGACAAGCATGTTTGGTTTGGGTTTGGAATTCGCACGACACTAATTATAAAAAAAATAGTAATTAAAATAATGATAATATTTTTAATTAAAAATTTTAATAATCTTGAAATAAAAAATTATTTATCTATGATTATATGGTATCCAATATAGTCAGATTTAAGCATGGCAAAGCCTAGATAAAAGTAACTTACCTCCAATTCCATTTATAAATCATGGTGTGGTTTTTTAGATAACATTTAAAAGGTATTTTTAAAATTATCAAAGAAAAATAACATGACATTTCTTTTTAAATTTGTTATATGGGAACATATTTGAAATTCTATGCATTTTTATTATTTGTACTTTTTTTACATTGATATTGATGAAGTTAGTATAAATAATTTATAAAGAAGATTGGAGGAATATATCAGAATTCACAACCATAAGTAAGTGGTGTTCATCTCATATTCCTTGATTCAGCAGCTGGTGATCAATTTTTTAATTTAATTAGTAATTTGTTATATGGATTGAATTTATAATCACAATTTTTTAGACTAAGTTTTAAAGTAGGATTAAAATCCTCTAACGTTGAGTCATGAATTTATATAAAATTTTCTTCTTATAGTATTTTTTTATTTTATTATTTTTTATAAAATATAAATGGATGTCTTTGCTCCTTTAGCATGAGATATGCTCTTCTCATCCTATTTATTTGACAAATATAAGATTTATTTTAGTCCTATATATAGATACTTGTGTAATTTTTATATTCATTTTTATCCTTTTATTACTTTTAAATATTGAAAAAATTATTAAATGGTGAAGTATTTTATGGTCAAAGTATATATATTTAATAAAGGTAGAGTTAGAAATTTATTAAATTTATAGACAGAGTTAATAAAATTTAAAACTTTTCTTAATTTTTGTGATATATACTAAAAGTAACTTATAAATCAAACTAAAGAGAGTAAATAGACTAATCAATGAAAGTCCATTAATTAAAAGTTTTTTTTTATTTGAAAAATCACACATATCAAGAAAATCTATTAATTACTGTGTAAAATCATAAAATTTCTATTAACTTCCACAAATGTTTTCATTGACAAGAATGGAGAATGAAATTTATTTAAGGAGTGAAATAATAGAGAGTGATATTAGAATAATTATCATTAATGAAACCTTTATTTTTTAAAATATCTTATTTTAAAACATCAAACCACTTCCAAAATTGTTTTATAAAATGGGACAATTGGAATTTTGAAATACCTCATAATTTTGTGTGTACTCATCTTAAGAGTCAAAGACAAAGTGTCATTAGAATAATTATCATTAATAAAACATTCTTTTTTCCAAAATATGTTAATAATTTGAGACACCAAATAACATCCGAGATTGCTTTATAAAATAGGGCGGGCAGAGTATTAAAGTG